AAAAAAAATGTTTCTTTATTAAAAAACGTCGGGTTTGACGTTTTTTATTAAAAGAAACAAAAAAAAATTGTTTCTTTAATTTAAAAATGTCGGGTCCAACGTTTTTCATTAGAAGAAACAAAAAAAAAGACGTTTTGGCGTAATAAAAAGTGCCGAAACGTTTTTTTGACCCAAAATATATCGGGTCAATGGGTCGGGTCGGGTATCCGAACTGACCCGTGATATTCGGGTAAGGTCACCAAATTCATGACTTGCCTTGGGTCGGGTCAAGTCAATTACCCGACCCGACCCGACCCATTCGGAGCTCTAAACATAGCTTCATTAGGAAGAGTGGAAATTAGAATAGAAATTGATGAAAATTTAGAAATACCTTTAGAGTTCGAAGTAATTGACTCGTGAAGAAAAGATTTGATATTAGGAACTGATTTATTAAGATATGGGATAATAAATATGAAAGAAGGTCTGTTAACAATAGAATGGGATAATGGAGTATATGAAATACCAATTGATTTTAGAGGAAAGAAAAATGTTGAATTTGAGGAGTCAGAGAATAGGGGTGAATTTAATGAAGATCCAAAGAATATAGATGATATAGATGGCAATTCTAGTGAAGAGTCAGAGGGTGAAGATGAATATGAGGAGATGGAAAAAGAAGAGTTGTTATCGATTGTAAAAACTGATAGAGAAAAGAGAGATGAGGAAAAATGAATAGTCTTGGCTTTCTGAATGAAGGAGAGACAGTAAAGATGCTAAATGAGAGCAAAGAAGAAAAATTTGAAAAGAAAACACATCTGGGAGAAATGAGCGATGAGGAGTGAATTTCATTTTTAAAATTGATAAGGTAATATGAAGATATATTCGAATATGACGAAGAGAAACTGGGAAGGATAAATACAGTTAAACATGAAATAATAATTGAAGAAAATCAAGGACCAATAGCACAAAAGAGATATAAAGAAACTGATGAAAAAGGAAAATTTATAAAGAAGGAAATTGAGCAATTGTTAAAGATGGGGAAGATAAGAGAATCATGGAGTAATTGGGCATCTCCAGTAACGTTAGCAGGAAAGAAAACTGGAAATTATAGATTTTGTATAGATTATAGAAAGCTAAATAATGTGACAAAGTCAGATGAATATCCTTTACCCTGGATAGACGAATTGTTAGAAAAATTTAGAAAGGGAAGTTGGTTCACAAGTTTGAACTTAGCAGCGGGATATCATCAAGTGGAAATGGCAGAAGAAGATAAAGAGAAAACAGCATTCATTTGTTCACAAGGATTATATGAATACAATGTTATGCCATTTGGATTGAAGAATGCACCAGGAACATTTCGGAGATTAATGGATAAAATATTAAAAGAATATATAGGAGAATTTGTTACAGTGTATTTAGATGATATAATGATTTATTCAGAAGATTTTGAGGAACATATAGAACATGTAGATAAAGTATTGAGTAAATTGAGAGAGAATAATATGATTGTAAAATTGAAGAAATGTCAGTTTGGATTGAGAAATATAAATTTCTTAGGGCATATAGTAGGAAGGGATGGATTGCGACCGGATAAAGAGAAAGTTGAGAAAATAGAAAATATGAGGAGGCCGAAAACTGTTACAGAAGTAAGATCATTTTTAGGATTATGTTCATATTATAGGAGATTTATAAAAGGTTTTTCGAAGATAGCAAAACCTTTGCTTAACTTAACAATAAAGAATGAAAAGTTTGAATGGAAAGAAGAACAACAAGAAGCATTTGACGTATTTAGGACAAAATTGACAGAAAATCCAATTTTAGTATATCCGGATTTCAGTAGAGAATTTATATTGATAACTGATGGATCTAAGATAGGATTAGGAGCAGTGTTAGCTCAAATGAATGTAGAAAATAAAGAGGTTGTAATAGCTTACGCAAGTAGGAGTACAGTGGGAGCAGAAAAGAATTATCCACCAACAGAATTGGAATGCTTAGCTGTATTTTGGGGAATACAACATTTTCAGAAATATTTGGTAGGAAGGAAATTTATAGTGATAACAGATCATGCAGCATTAAAAGGATTAACAGATGGAAAAGAACAAACAGGAGATGGGTAATGAAATTACAACAATTTGATTTTAAAATATTACATAGAAGTGGAAAGAAAATTAAAAATGCAGATGGATTATCAAGACTGACATTTAAAGAAAAAGAAACAGTAAGGAACGAGAATCAAGAAATAACAAAAATAGAAAGTAATAAGGGGAAATTGAGATATATCAAATTTAGGAATAAATGGTATAATGCTAAAAGATTTAAAGGGAGATGGGATGATGAAAAATATTTTACCGATAAAGAAGCAATACTTTTGAATTTGGAGGATAAGACAGAAAAAGAAGTATTAAAGAAATTGGAAAGAGAAAATAAGCCACAAGTTATTATAATCGATGGAGTGGATGGATTAGGAAAAACAAGTATAGTACAAAATTTGATTAAAGAGTGGGAAAAGCAAGGATTAAAAGTAAGATTTAATACATTCAAAAGGAGAAGAAAAGACAAAGGTGAATTTCACGAATCAAATTTAGAAACAGAATGGAAATTTAGAAAGGAAGTAGTAGAACAAATAAACAGAAGAATGTTAGAATATGATGAAGATACGGATATAATAATTCTAGACAAATCGCCATATTGTGAATATTATTATCAGAAGACGAAAAGTTTCAACAGAGGATTAATTACTCCACATGGGAACCATGAGATGGAAAAAGAAATATTCAGGTTAAAAGAAACAATAGATAAATCAATAGTGATATTTTTGGAAAAAGATGGCGATGTATGTTGGGAAAATTATATTGGAAGAGAAACGAAGAAAATGGAGAAATCGTCATACCCAACATTAAAGAAAAATGAATATTTGGACATGGTTAAAATGTTTAAAGAAAACCAGGATGTATACAAAGATACCAAAAGATACAGTCAAATTGAAGTTAGGAATGACTATAGTAGTTGGAGAAAAGTATATAAGGAGATAGAAAAACACCAAAGAGCTTAAAATTATATTTCCAAAATGGTATTAGTAGATCATTACATGAATTGGTTTCTTACCTATCGAGTAAAGGTCGATAAGATATTGAAAGTAACTATAAAAGAAGAAGAGAACAAAACAATTATCCATTTAAGGATTGAAGAAGGAGAAACTTCATACTAGTAGATGTATACATTATAATAAGACTAAAAGAGAAAAAGGTGAAATTAATTATGGA